GACTCTATAGGGCAGGGTGGAACTGTCGTCCTTGTGGGTTCCTGAGATTCTTTAAGGGAGTAGAAAGCCCCGTCTTCTGCGGAGTGGCTGGCAGTTTCACACTGCTGACCTGTGGATAGCAGCTTAACTCATAACCCACTAAGCCACCACTGCTCTTATTTCTACAACCAAACCGGAAAACCAAACTCACTGCCATGACATTGATACCAATTCACAGTGACCCTACAGGGCCGGGTAGGACTGCCCTGTGGGTTTCTGAAACGGTGACACTTTACAGGAATAGACAGCCCCATCTTCTCCCATGGCCGGTGGTTCTGAACTACTGACCTCTTGGATCATAGCCCAGAGTGTGACCATTCTACCTCCAGGGCACCTATTTCTACAACAGGACGTTCTCAAACAGGATGTCACAAAACAAGGGGCTCCAATAAGCAATCCTACGTATTCCAATTTACCTTTGGAGCAGACGGCATTGCCTGAGCAATGTTATCAACGAAGGAAATCTTTTCCTAGATTTGCTTGTTATTAGTAGTCCACAAGCTCATCTGATCTTTACCTGACCTAACGATAGAGAAAAGAACCAGGAAAAGACAGGAACTAGGGAAAACTGGGTCTTTTGATTGAGAATGGCAGTGGAAATGAATTACCACCCTGTGTCTGCTGATCGATGTTCTTTTTCAACATAAGAGGGTTACTAGATGCTGATCTGCGAGCTACTATCTGTGAGTTGCTAAACGCCATGTTCTTTTCACAGGGTTTGTACGTAGGAAGCCCTTAAATATTTTCTGAATAACAAATTGGAGGAATGATAGACTTGAATTGACAGGACAAGTCAGAAGTCCATGTGAGGTACGCTGCACTGATAAGTTCTGATCCTGGCAATGAAACTCAAGAGAGGAAACCAGAGGAAATAGGATTTGATCAACCAGTGAGTACGGGAAAGTGTGTTTTATGGGTGATGAGCTGGACAAGCTTTGTAACCCTAGTCTTAAACTTGAAAAACCTAATTAAAACTAGAGATTAAAATATTCTGGATCAGCTACTTTGTCCAGTCTTTACTCTGTCCAAGTGCCCCCCTCCCCCCACCCCAGCTCCCCCACCCACCCCCGACCAAATACACAAAAAGAAAGACATCCTAATTCATATGTAATCATGTGGCTTCTCTGACAACAGAATTGCCTGTGAAAATCAGAGAGGAAGTGAACGCATATTCTGGGGAGGTTGTGCCCTCAACTGGCACAGCTGACGCACTACTGCCATCTGCAGTAAGAAAGGCCCAACGCGTGTGTTTGTGCCCCAGGACGAAGTTCAGAAAGATGGAGCCGTGGAAACGGGAGCTGGTACACTGAGATTGTAATGGATGCGCGAAAACAAATGTGTATGAGCCGTTTACTGTAAAACTGAGGATCTGCTTTGTAACCCTTCACCCAAGTCACAATAAAAAGTAAAAACAAACCACACACATGTATTCTGAGGGGGAAAGTAATATAAAGTGCTATATAAAAGTTTCTGTTTTTGATTAAAAAAGACTTGCTTTTCATTGTGAGAAACATTCAATTTTTATTATCTGAACTAAAAGAACCCTGGTCACAAGTCAAAGTACAATTCAATTGGCCAGACTCTCCCCTTCTGAATTCAGATACTAAAAGAGGAGTTTCTGTCACTGAGAATCTAAGAATAAAACCCAACAAATAAAGCTATTCACTCATCACTCCTGTGGGAAAACTATAAACTCTATAAAGCCTTAGAAGCCCAAAGACTGCAGAATAATATGAGGGGCTTCAAAACATTCACAGAGAAATTCCATTAGCTTTTAATTCTATTTCCCCAGGAGCATTTTGAAGACCCTTTGTATTTCTGGATTGTGAGATCTTTTCATTGCTAGCAAGCTGATTCTAACTCAAAGCAGCCCCACGAGACACAGTGAAACTGCCCACAGGGTTTCCAAAGCTGTCATCTTTCCATAAACCAACTGCCACATCTTTTCTTAAACAGAGTGGCTGATGGGTTCCAATTACAACCTTACAGTTAGCAGTTTAAACACTAAATAAACTACCCAAAACAAAAATAGGAAAGAAAACAAACATAAACTCACTGCCATCAAGTTGATTACAACTCATCAATTCCATAGGTTAGGGTAGAACCGCCCCCTGTGGATTTCCAAGACTGTAACTCTTTGCAGGAGTAGAAACCCTCGTCTTTCTCCTGCAGAACAGCTGATGATTTCGAACTGCTGACCTCATAGGTTAGCAGGGCCAGGGTTTGCAAACTTTTGAGACGGATGAGCCAATCCTGTCCCTCACAACAGTTTTTAAAATTATTTGAGAGTCATAAATATATTTTTACAAACAAATGAAATCATCATTATCTGAATAATAGCCTTGAAAATCTTCAGAGACACAAGTGCATACCTTACGGCACAGTTCTATTCTCTCCTCTAGGGGGTGTTACTATGAGCGGGAACCCACTTAATGACAGACAGTAGATGTGGTTTGAGATAAGGACTTGACTTACCAAGCTAGGATATATTACATTTATAGTATTTCATTTGCCTGTACTGTAGTGTCTAACAAGGGGAAAATGTTTAACAAAAGTTAGAAAATACATCTGGAGCTACCTTGAGCCTTTACCTGCATTTACATCTCTATGAGCTACGGAGCTAGATGACATACTGACAGCAAATTGTGGAGAAGCTTTAGGCTGGATTCTGCAGTTTATTAACAGTTTATACCAACCAAGGATAATGTCGTTCTACGTCTGAAACGTGTGTACATATTTTCAGACCTTCTGAAACTGTGATGTATGTTAAGAGAGATTTTTGTCTAAGCAATTTTATATTTAACACAGTCTCCAAGGTTGACATTATGAGTAAAACTAAACCAAAACATGCTACTCCACAGATGAGAAGATGAAAGCATTGTAAACAAAAAGTCATTGTATTAATGTTTAACCACTTTTGCTAACAGTAATTGAGGGCAGTGAAATGAGGTATAGTTTTGGAGTCTTCCAAGGTGCCTTGTTAAAAAACTAAGATGTTGACGTGGCGTTTGGTTAAGTATGTATGTTGAGTGGTGGATAGACACGTTGACTACAAAGCCGAAGTAACACATGCATCAACATTTCTGATACACTCACATGTTTCTTCTTCATCTCAACTGTTGCTATCACCCTGGCGGATGTCTCTCCCGCTAAGGGCCTTCCGTCTCTACGACAGCCAGCCATCTGATTTGACCCCAAATATTTTCCAGCAATGTTTTCCTGGTGAACTCTTACGAGTCTAAAATCCTCTTCTTGCATCCCAATTCCTGTTTTCCTAACTCTCATTTCTTCACAGTGACCTTGTTCTCTGACCTCAAGGTTTTCTGTTTTCTCCTCCTCTCCAGTGTCCTGAATTAAAGTAAAGCCCTCAGAGCCATGT